CACCCCAGGACTTTTGCACCGGTCACCTCCCTGTCTAGAACATTCTTTCCAGAGATACCCACGTGGCTCAAACCCCAGCTCCCCCCCGCCGAGATCCTTCCTGACCACGCCCTCTGACATTGCCCCACCTCGTGTCTCTTCCATCACCTTAACACTGTGCTATTTGTCTTCTAGCGCCGAACCCCTCTCTGACATTATGTGCTGACAGGCTCATCCTTCCCTCCGCTGGAAAAAGACGTGGCGCGTTTGGTCCCAGCTGTTTCCCCGTACCTAGCGCGGCCGGAACTTAATCAATATGTGTTGAGGGAATGAAGGAAAGACTGCACACCTGGCTCGGCCCTCTAGACTGAACCTGGGCGCTTCTGCTGTGGCTGAGTCGCATCAATGCTTCATTCAGACTGAGCAGGCCAGGCCTCGGCCACGTGGCCACACTTTCTGATGTGAATAAAATGGGATTGGCAAAATGAAATGAAAACGTGGCAAGGTTTTTAGATACTTGTCTCCAGAAATTAATGGAACACTCCAGAGCTCTGATATGGAGCATCCAGATTGGTAGACGTTTGTTGTGTGGGTTTGCTTCTTCAGAAGCTGTGGGGAGCATTGCAGTCCTTGAGCACACGGTTGTGTTTGTGGTTTTGGCAACATCAGTGAATTCCACAGTCAGCAACTGCATTTGAGCAAGTTTTATCAGCAAGCAAAATTTTCAGTCACTAAGTCCAAACTCATGAAGAAGGGACTTAAACTTGCTGAATGTAAAGACTGAAACTGAAGCCACGTAGCTTTAATGATTGCCAGTGCAACAGCGGTGGTTTAAAGGCTGGCACTGCAGGTGCTCTGCATATTCTGATTTTATTAACATAAAAAATTGGATTGCAGAAAACACTCACAGGTGGCAGGACAGGGCTGAATAACATCCCTGCAAATTCATGTCTTTCCCAGAACCTCAGAACGTGACCTCAATTGGAAATAGAACTTTTGTGATGTATTTAGTTAGGAAGACATCTTATGGGATAGGGTGAGCCCTAAATCCAATGACTGGTGTCCTTCTGAGAGAAAAGAAGACAGAAAAACAGCCATGGTGAGAACCCCACTCGATGATGGAGGCAGCGATGGGAGCAATGCTCCCACAAGCCACGGACTCTGAAGCCACTGGCACCCCGAGGCTGGGAGACAGGCTCGGAGCAGACTCTCCCCCAGCCTCTGGAGGAACCAGCACCACTGACACCTTGATTTTGAACTTCCAGCCTCCAGAGCTGTGGGAGAAACATTTCTGTTGCTTTAAGCTACTTGGTCCGTGGTCTTTTCTTATAGCAGTACCAGCAAAGCAGTGCTGAGGTCCCACTGTCCCAGAAGAGCTTCCGTGACAGGCAGGACAGCCGAGTTCATTTAAAGGCTGAACTGCAGATGCTGTGCGCATTCCGATTTTATCAAAATCAAAAGTGTGCACAGCAGGGTCCTGGGCGGGACCTTCTGGGACCTGCATTCAGCCCCACCCACCCCACCGTGCAGCTGCCGAGGCCTCTGAGGCGGAGGAGGGGAGGGAGACGGCCTGGCCCTGGCTCTCTGGGGCTGACCACGTCCACCCAGGGTCCAGGCCGGCCCCCGGGGACACCACAGGCCATGGTCATGGGTCAGTTCTGCATCACACAGCTAAGGGTGTCAAGACCCTGTGGACCCAGAGGTCCGTGAGGTGGGCGCCTGCATTTCCCATTGGCAGGAAGGGAGGCTGGCGCTCCACCAGGACCCCGCGTGACTGCCCTAGTTTCCTCCTGTGGGCCTGGGTGGGCTCCTGGCCTGTCCTCTCATCTCCACCCTCTGCTTCTTCCCAGGAAGAGGAGTCCTGCCAACCTCCACTCCCAAGAAGCCAGAGTGGCTTCCAGAGCCTCGGGCTGGGCTTAGGGTCTCAGGAGCCCTGAGCATTCTGGTTGCAGAATTTTCTACCAATGCAATGAAGCATCTGTCTGTCTGCAGAGTGGCTTTGCTGTCGACGATGACGGCATGGGCCCTTCCAGGGCCTTGTTGCACCTGCACTGATCTCATCCCACCACACGCATCATGGTGGGCTCCTGCATGGGGCGGTGTGGCCTGAGGGGCGGGGAGAAGGCTGGGCGAGACAGAGCCACACAGTACCCCATGAAGAGTTCCGTTCTGTGTGGGAGACGGGAAGACGTGGCTCAGGGGACAGAGGCTAGGGAGGGCAGGGGGCTGAGGGTGGGATGGAGAAGACCCCCGGGGGATGTGACTGGAACTCCAGGCCACCAGGAGAAGGGGCCGTTTAGGTCAGCGATGCACTGAGGATCCATTCAGCCTTCCCGGGGGTCTCCCCTTTCCACCCCACGAGGTTCTCCCTGCCCCATCTCTCCCTCACACACTCCCTTCCCAGGCCTGGGTCCCCTTGGTGCCCCTGCCTGTCCACTTTATCCAGGATGCAAACAAGTCTAGGGTCCCTGTCTCTCGTGTCCCCACCAGAGGGGCCTCCTCTTCCTCCGCTGCCCCCAGCCTTGCCTGGCTTCTGCCCTTTCTGGGCCTCTGCTTTTGGAGAGGCCTGGGGGTCCTGGACAGCCCTGCTGCCCCCACCTGTCCAGCTGTGCATTAGGCAGCCCCTCCCAGGCGGAGCCAGTCCAAGGGTGGTGGCACTGGTTTGGCTCAGCCTCCTCTTCCCTGGGAGCTCCTCTGCTGTGCCCCTCGTCCTGTGCCTCCCTGTGGTGGCAGATGGCCAACTGTCCTGTCTTTGCCTGCTCCCACCTCTCCCTCTGTCTTTGTCTCCCTGTCTATCTCTGTCTTTGCCTTTTGGCCTCCCATCTCACTATGTCTCCGTTTCTCCCTCCCTCTCCCTCTCTCTCTCTCGCTGACTCCGTCCTTGTGTTTTTGTCTCTGTGACCTCTGATCCTCCCGTCTGACTCTCAGCCACAGGGAGCCACAGCTGGCCTTGACGACGCCCTTGGCTGGAACGGCCAAGCCCAGCCATCTGAGGCCAGCCTCTGACAGAGGCCAAGACACCCACCATCCAGGCTGCGGAGATGAGAGGGTTTCCCCAACTGCCGCCCCTCCCTGCTCCCCAGGGCTGCCTTTGGGCCTGAAGGGCCGGGGGCACTTACGACTTTCCCCGGGCAGCAGGAGGCTGGCCAGGAAGGCACTGAGCAGGACGAGGTGCAGTGGGCGCCCCATGGTGTGGCCGAGTACTGTGTGCCTGTCCTCACTGGGACAGGCTGCTGGAGCAAAGTCCACGCCCCGGCCGGGATGGCTGTTGTGCGGCTGCTTGTCACTTGGCTTAGGCCCCCTGATTGGAGCCGAGGCCCGCTGGCGACGCAGGGGAATGACCACGCTGGGAACACAGCCACTCTGGCCCCACCTTCCCCAGGCAGAGCTGGGCAGCCGGAGAGGCCCCGCGGAACCTCATCCTCATCGGTCACCAGGGCCACGGGCGCGGGGACTTTCTGTTCTAAGAATAAAAACATCATTTCATGCTTGTTTTGTAGTTTCCAGATGTTTACATTTAGCTCTCAGTCCTCACAATCACATAAAAATATCATTTTCCAGAACAGAAAACTACGTCTACAGAGCACAGAAGCCGGAGCCCGAGGCCACCGGCAGTGACTGTGGGGTCTGAGCCCAAGACTTCTGCCCCAAGGCCCTGCTTGCTTCTGGGCGGGCCCTTCCGCTCACGGCCATTCTCTAGGTGGTGTCAGGTGGTCGGATGTCACGGGGGGCGGTTGGCATCTGCACCACGGTCTCCCACAGGCCAGGCTGGTACTTGCCCCACCCACCCCCAAACCTTCTGTGCCCACATGGTCCCAACATGTACTTCTGTGGGGAGTGGCCCTCCCCTGACCATCTGGAGGGACAGGCTCTGTCTGAAACCCCTCCTGACCTGCCCACCACTGGCCACACTGTTCCGAGGCTGAGAGGGCTTCTGGGCTCATTCTCCAGCACAGAAACCTCCTGTCACCAGGTCCCTGAGTGTCTCTGCTCAATGGCTGTGGGAGTCACTGGGAGGTGCAGCCAGGATTTTTGCTTCTGGGGTCCCTGGAATAAATGGTCTAAAACTTGGCCAGTGTGGCAATCACTACCTGCTATGCCGTAGTGGCTGGAGCAATGCCCCTAAAACCCACAGCACTGGCCACTGCCTCACGGTGTCTGCCTTGATGTGTTGCCCGTCTCGCAGCCACCTGCACCTGGGCCTGGTGTGCACACATTGTGCATCATTGTGCCTGGCACACAGGAGGTGCTCACTGAGCCCCACCCGACTACACAAACTGATGGCACTGGGTGCCAACGCCAGGGTGGCCTCCCACAGTGGGCACCACGCACAGCCCAGTCCTCTGAGAGGGGCCTTCCTGGTGGCACCAGATGTCTGACTCCTGCCTCTCCTGGTCTCCACCCTCCAACATCGCCTCTAGGCACGTTTGTATGGAGAGACCAATGCGGTGTGTGCACCAGCAGCAGGATGCTCATGGCAGACATGCAGTCTTTGTCATCAATGCTGGGTGGTGATGCTGGCTTTGGAGGCCCGAGTCTGCCATCTCATCCCACCCTGTCGCAGGCCCATGGCCAGTGGTCTCCCTGTATTCTATCTCGCCACTCACAGAAAGCTGGAGCTGAGCCATGGCAGGTGGCACGTCCCATATGAAATGTAGCCTTCGAGGGTGCCCAGGCCCTTCAGCAAAGTTTCTAGAGAGTCCCGGGCCCCCTCCTTCAGCAGCACTGTGAGTGGGTGCCTACATTTCCCATTGGCAAGAAGGGAGGCTGGCACCCCACCAGGACCCCGCATGACTCCCCAGTCACTCGGACAAAAGAGAAAGCAGAGCCAGCTCTGACCTGATCAGGGCCCGCCACTGGCCCCCGTCCCTGTGTGGTGGGCATTAGGAACTGGGGTCTGGCCAGGGTCAGCCAGCATCTTCGGCAGAGGTCCTGACACTAATCATGCTGGACTTGGCGGGTCAGCTGGTCTGTCTGGCTGGACATCTCTGTCACGGCCACTCCATGGACACTAACGTGGGTGTGTTCCCATAAAACTTTATTTACAAGAGCAGGGTGGCTTGGAAGCAGCCCTCGGCTGTAGTTCACGGACCCTGTCTGCTCTAAAGTAGATGTTGCCTGAGTGCCCCTGAGGTGGGTTGCTGGTGCCTGCCTTGCTGCTGTGAGTGCCACTGGTGCCCAGGACGGCCCTGCAGGGATGGCATTGAGTCCGCTCTCTGAGCCATGCTTGCCGGAGTCTGAGTGCGGGCAGTGTCTGTCACCTCCCCATTTCTCTGCTCATGTGTTTCTCATTCTTCCCCCACCACCCTGGGGACTCAGCAAGAGTGCAGTTTGCCAGGTCCTCCCACTGCCGCCAGGGCCTGGGAACTTGCATTTAGTGGTATGTCCCTGATTCTCGAGCAGGTGCTCCCAGGGTCTCTGCGAAATATCATTGACAAGGGCTGTGGCAGGGAGAGAACATCCAATTCCACAGGGTCCTGGGAGCTACAGCCTCAAACATCTATCAAAGAGCTTTTGTTTTTAAAAAGAACAGCTGCCATGTGAGGGTTCATTTCAGTGATGCTGAAAACTGTGAAAGAAAAAAGCATCTCAGAGGATGAGCACTGGGGGCTCTGAAAATGAATCACAGGCTACACGGTGGGTGGCAGGCCCCACAGGCGTGCGGAGGAGATGCAGCCATTTATTGTGAAGTTGGGAAGCCGGTGGGGAACGGCCTGTGCAGCCCGGCACCCAGTGTAGGGAGAAATACATTTGGGGGAGAGTTTGGGGCATTTGCCAACATGCATGGTGATGCTTCTGAATTGTCTGAAATGAAGATGATAATGGATAAGAACGAGAAAAGTGAGAGCTAAACAACCGCCTTTGGAGGACAGCACACATGGAGTCAGCATCGGTGTGCGTGCATCCATGTGTGCATATCTGTGTGTGTACATTGGTGTGTGTGCACTCATCCATGTGTGTGCATATCTGTGTGTGTGCATCTGTGTGTGTGCATATCTGTGTATGTGCACATCGATGTGTGCATATCTCTCTGCATCCGTGTGTGTGCATTAGTGTGTGTGTGCACTGGTGTGGTGTGCACGCATCTGTGTGTGCGCATATCTGTGTATATGCATCCGTGTATGTGCATATCTCTATATGTGTGTCAGTGTGTTTGCATATCTGTGTGACCCTCTGTGTGTGCATCCGTTGTGTGTGCATATCTCTGTGTGTGTGCATTGGTATGTGTGTATGCATCCACGTGTGTACATGCCTCTAGTGTCTCCAGCAATGAAGGCAGAACAGCAGCCTGAGGCCAGCAGATCACGGGCAGGTGGGCTTGGCTGAAGGGAGATAAGGAGGCTCAGCTGGGCTGTCTGCCTCCAGGACACCCGCGCCATTCCCCTGCCCCTCTGCCCAGCGCCTGTCTGCCTCTGCATCTCATCTTTTCGATTCCTTCTCTGTGTCTCTATTAGGCTCTTTGAATCATGGAGTCTCTTTGAGTCTCTCCATGTCCTCAGAATCTCTCCCTCAGTCTCTCTCTGTCTCTCTGTTTCTGTCTCTGTCTCCCTCCCCACCTCTTCCTCCCTCCCATGCCCTCCTCTACCCCATGAACTGCAGAAAAATCGATGGGATTTTGTGCCAGGACAGTTCTACACAGCCTTGGCTTTCTCTCCAGGGGGCAGGGCTGCTAGGCTAGGGAAATGGGGCTCGCAGGAGGACGCCTGGACGTGGCTCTGAGTGCATGAGCTTTTGCAGCCACTCGATGTACTGGGAGACCCTGGTGTACACCCCGAAGTGGCCCACGGCCGCGCAGCCCTGGCCCCAGCTGACGATGCCTGTCAGGTACCACGTGCCCCGGTAGCGGGTGGCGTGTGGGCCTCCACTGTCCCCCTTGCAGGAGTCCCTGCTGCCATCCGAGTAGCCGGCACAGAACATGTACTCCGTGATATTCGGGGAGGCTTCCGCCTTCCGTGACTGCTGCAGGCAGTCCTGGGTCATCAGCCGGGGCACGTTGAGGGCCATGAGCTCCAGGGCTGTGGCACCACGGTCCAGCAGCTGACCCCAGCCGCTGACCAACGAGAAGCGCACGAAGGCCAGCGTCCTCTCAGAGAACGTCCGTTCGGGCAGGCAGAGGGGCACCACATGGTCAGTGAGGACCACGGGCCGCTGCAGGCGGAGCAGCGCGATGTCGTGGTTGGTGGCGCCCAGGACATACGTGCTGGGGATGATGACCTGCACCACCCGCCGGCTCTGTTCATCCCCTTCGTGCTCACTGAGGTCGTGCTCGCCTGGAAGGAGGGAGCCTTGCTCAGGCCCATCCCACTACCTGCTGCCTCGCCCCCTGGTGCATGGGGATGGGCTGTGGCCATTTCTAGGTCTGCAGGGGCTGCAGTCTCCTTTTGGGGCGAGGGGGGCCTGCATCCAACCCCAAGGTGACCTGGCCAGCCTGCTGCAGGTGGCAGCCTGTGGCTCATGTGGGGACGTGTGAACTGGGGTGAATCTGGGGCCTGGGTGTTGAGGTGGGGAAGGGGTGCTGCGACCTGGCAGCTGGGGGGGCAGGGCATGCCCTGATTCTCCACAGTTCTTCCCAGCCAAGTGCCCTCCTGGGAATGTTCATCTCACCTGTAAACCCAGTCAGCACAGTCCCTGCCACCCAGTGGTCCCACGAAGCCCTGGGAGTTGCATGCTCCTATGGGCTCTTGGCCAGGTGAGGCAGGATGGGCAGAACCCCTGTCTTTTACCATTTTATTTGGGCATGGGAAAGTGGCTGAGAGGACGGTGGCCACAGCAGTCATGCCTAGCACAGTTGCTCCCCTTTTGGAGACGTCTGTCTGTCTGTGGAAGTGACAGTACGAAGCCCAGAGCGCGGCCCCTGAGACACTTGAGAGCCGTGGTCAGACAGGGGAGAGTGGCGCCTACTCAGCACCATCGTCAGACGGGAGAGCGGCGTGTAACCAGCACAGCAGTCAGATGGGAGAGCAGTACCCACCCAGCAACGCGGTCAGACAGAGGAGAGTGGTACCTACCCAGCACCATGGTCACACAGGGGAGAGCGGCACCTACCCAGCACCGCGGTCAAGTTCCTCCAGCTCTTGATTTTGTCGAAACAGTGAGCCGCAGAGACCACCCAGATGGTGTTTATCAGGGTCCCTCCACACAGCTGAGCTCCATTCACCAACAACAGGACCTGGGCGGGGGGATAGGAGGCATGGAAGTCACATTACTGTCATTGTTTCTCTGATGACTCGCCCTCCCGGGTACGCCAAGGGACCTCTGGCATTGCACAATTTGTTTCTGAAATCCTGGGGTCTTTGCAGATCCCTCCCAGGCAAAGCTGCTCAGAACTGGCTCTGGGAGGCTGTGCCCCTCTCTAGCCGAGACGTGCTCTTGGGCACAGCCCAACAATACAAATGTCGCTGTGAGATTTCACTGTTCACCTCACGGGATCTTCACATAGCTTTGATCCAATGCTCCTGATTTTGCAAAGATCAGGCAAAGATCCCACCTCAAAGAATAACAGTGAGGACGACGTGACAACTCGGGAGGGGCATCTCGCAGGGTTCTCTGCACAGGGTAGACCCTCAGCGAGTGTCGTCGTCTTTTCTCCTTCCTTGCCCCACTGAAAGCATGGGGGTGCAGCGAGCTGGAGGTTCTAGGCAGGCTGACTTGGAGCCTGGTGGCCTTGGGGCTGACCTGCCATTTTCCCTTCCAGAGCTGTTGTTCAGCTCACATTCAAAAGGCTCCGAGACCCTCAGGGCTTGGAATCCTGAAGGCAAGGGAAGCCTTACCTGCCATGGACACTCCCCTTTGGGGCACACCCTGCCCCCGACAATTCGGCCTTGGGGTTTGCTGGCATTTCTTTTTTCCAGAATAGGTATTTTTCCACATGGATATTCAACTGTGTAAAACAAAAGTCAGAAAGATGCAGAAATTTGTGAGGGATGAACGAGCCACTACGAAAGATTCAGAAACACCCATCCTCTGAGAGGCCTTGAGGCCGAGGCTATGGGAGGCCCCCAGGAGCAGGAGCTGCCAGGGCTCAGGGACGGTGGAAGGCTGGGCCTCGGCTGGGCCTGACTGGTGGGGCTGGGCCATGAGAGGCCCTTGTGGAAGTGGCTGGCTGAGGAGACAATGGTCAGGGCTGGTTTTGGAGGAAATGGAGGGCTTATGTCTTAATACCGCCCTCTGCTCACTTTTCAGGGGGAAGATGTGTTGCTTGACTTTAGTAAAAGGTGAATGAAATTCTACCTAAAGATGAATCAACGTCACAAACAACTGTGTTGTTTTGATCCCACGCTTAGTTTTGATCTGCTCCAATCAAGGTCTTGGGCCAGAAAGAAAACCTGAGGAGGTGGCGGGCTGAGTCCCAGGCTGTGTGGCCAGGGTGGGCACGCCCACCTCTTTGAGACACAGTGGGCGTGGGGTGTCCCTGACTTTGGAAGTGCAGCCCATTTGTTCCAGGCTGGTTTGGAGAAACATCCCATTTTCCCAGGTGCCTTTACAAGTTTTGGAATTCAGAGCGGGCAGCAGTCGGTACAGACACTGGCTGTGCCAAGGTAGATTCACGAACCCCAGCGGAGGTCCTGCGAGTGGGAGTTGGACGTGAGATGGTGCCTTGCTTGGCTCCCCTGGTCTGCCTAGCATGGGTAGGGGGCCTGAGGCCATTCAGGGACTGCCCCCAGGGTGCCCATCCTAGTCACTATCGCTCTGGCCTGTGCCACCCTTGGTGCCCAGATCCTGCCTCACGGTTGGTCAGCGCATGGTTGGTGCTCAGATGTGAAGCCACCCCCACCCGTCTTTTGTCCAGTAAGAGAATCCGTAGTGGGACAGGGACAGGTGTCATCTGGGACTGGGACATGAAGCCTGGTCACCTGTGGGCATGCAGGACACCCCGTCTGCCAGCAGCGAGTACCCCTCGTGGCACCAACAGGAGCGCCTGGCGCCCGCGTGGTCACTGCAGTACTGCTCACAGCCGCCGTTCTCGTTCACGCAGATCAGCTGGTCGTCCTTGTCTGGGGACAGGAAGGGCATACCCTGAGAGGGGCCTTTTGGGGTCAGTGAGAGCCAGCCCTGGGGGAGGCCATACCCTAAGTCAGCAGCAGCGTTCTGCCTGGAAGGTGGCACTAAGCTGTGGGCGACAGAGCCTGAGCTTGGCACCGCCTGCTCTGTGGACTGATCCAAAGGACAAGGCCTGGATCAGAGTCACATGTCTGAACAGCCTTGCCAGTTGGGGGCAGCGCTGGCTGCAGTTGCATTTGGGGGGTGCCTGGCTGGTGGGCAGTGGCCTCCAGGGTGACCACTCTTCCAAGCAGCTAATGGGAAGCTGAGGGGAGCCTGCGGGAAAGTGAAAGTCCCGTAGGGATGGTAAAAGTGTCCAAGGGACTTCCAATCAGAGACTCAACTGACAAGAGGACCAGAGTGCTGAGACAGTTCTCCAAGCTGGCCTCATGCCACCGTGAGCCTGCCTAGGGACAGTCAGTCTCAGCACTGGCCATGGGCTCGGACAGAAGCAGCAGAATCGGCAGCCTGACTTTGGTTGATGTGGGCAAGGGCAGTGGCCCTGAGTAAGTCCAAGACTCCGGCGGGAAGGCCTGCTCTGCAGGATGCACACCAGGGCTGCTGGGCACCAGGGCTAAGCAGAGATCCCCAGGCATTCCGGACCCAGATGACCAGCAGGAAGCCTCTCTCTTCAGCCTGCCCCACCTTGCTGGGCTCTCTTCTACTTAGAGAAGAAAGTGGCTGCTGTGCCGGAGAGCTCGTTCAGTGTGAGAATGTGGTCTTGGGTGGTCAAGGATGAGCTGCTGTTCCCAGGGAAAGGGTAGCCTTTGCCTTGGCTCCTGGGAAGTGATCGCTAAGCCCTTGGAAGGGTGACCACACATTTCCTGGGAAGTGATCGCTAAGCCCTTGGAAGGTGACCACACATTTCCTGGGAAGTGATCGCAAAGCCCTTGGAAGGTGACCACACATTTCCTGGGAAGTGATCGCTAAGCCCTGAGGGAACGTTGGTGTTTATCCGGGCCTTGGGCCATGCTGGATGGTCTAGCTGACGACTTGGAAGGGTGACCACACATTTCCTGGGAAGTGATCGCTAAGCCCTGAGGGAACGTTGGTGTTTATCCGGGCCTTGGGCCATGCTGGATGGTCTAGCTGACGATGTGATGATGGCAGGGCCTTGGGTCACACTATTGGCTTGGCCTCTGGAGGGGCTGAGACTGAGGTCAGCCGCGTAGGTGGTCAGCTGGGTCTGTGTGATTGAGCCCTGATAAAACCTCTGGACACCGGGGCTCATAGAGCTTCCCAAGTTGGCAGTACTTCCCACGTCTCATCACACGTCTTTCTGGGAGAACTGTCCACATGACCCCACAGGGAGGGGACAATGGGAAGTTTGTGCCTGGTTCCTCTGCAGACTTAAGTCGGCTTCCTTTGCTGTAATAAATGGTAACTGTGAGTGTATCCACTTCAGTGGGTTCTATGAGTCCTTCTAGTGAATTACTGAACCTAAGGGAGGTTGGGGGCCTCAAACTTTGTAATAATTTAATATTCAGACGGTTAAAAAAAAAACAAAAAACACAAAAAAACAAAAAAAAACCCACCTCAAACCTTTGTAATGGAAAGTAGAGAAGGGGAAGTTTACCAAGTGGTGCTGCCTGGTAGGACGTGGAAGTGGGACAGGGACACAGGGACTCTCAGCTGGGCCATTTCGAGGGCTCAGAATTGCCCAGGGCCGGGAGCCCAAGGGGCCACTGAGTCTGAGAATTAGAACCTTGGGTCCCTGTCAAAGACCTCAGACTGGAAGGGACTTCAAGGTCACCTAGACCAACTTCCAACTGGGGCTGAGCCCAGAATGCCCGGTCCATACACCCCACCAGGTTGTGCACCCTGCAACCCGGTTGGCCAGGCCACCGCTACCAGCTCCCCAGGGCCCTCTGCAAATATGGGACCCAAAGTGGGGCCTCACTCTTCTCACAGTTCCGGCCCTCGAAGGAAGGCAGGCAGAAGCAGATATAGGACTGGAGCTGGTCCTTGCAGGAGCCCCCATTCTGGCACGGATTTGAGGCACACTGGTCCCCATCTGTGGAATGGGCTGGCGTCAGTACGCTGAGGAGAAGGGTTGCAGGCAGGATTGGTGGCAATCATCTACTCACCACTGTAAGAAATCCAGAACAGCTTCTGAGGGAACAAAAGAGAAAGCCTCGTGAGACGCACCTTCACCAACACACCCAACGGTAAGCACTGGACAAACCACGAGCTGGGGTTGGGGGACTTGGACCTGGGCCTGGCGGGGTGGGCTCAGGAAGCCAGACTTTCCTGCGGAGGTAGATTTCTTCTGATCTTGGCCCCTCCCCAGGACATCTGAAACTATGGGTGACCACACATTTCCTGCTCCCAAGTCAGAACACCCGAGGTTCAGCCCTGACTCTTCTGTCGCTGAGCTGTGGACCTGGGATGAGGTACACAGGCTCTGAGCCACAGCTCCACCTCTGACAGGGTGGCCACACACACGGGCTGACACTGGGAGAGGGTGCAGTAGCAGATGTAAAATCTTCCACAAATAGCAAAAGCACTCCACAGAAAAAAGTGATTGCTGAAGAAACTGTTGGCCACCTGAACTTAAACTCACAGGGTGCTGTGAGAATACAACAGATGAGAAATGCTTTGAAAACTAGGTGGATAAAAATGCTAGGCATGACCATCCTCAATTTGCCCGGAAAGGGTCATGTTAGCCTTTGTTTCAGACAGCTGGACTTCCTGTGTGAGGCTTCCTGTGAGCATGAGGTGTCCTGTGAGTGTGAAGTGTCTTGTGCATATGAGATGTGGTTCTCTGTGACTGTGAAGCATCCTGCGTGAGGCATCCTATGAGTGTGAGGTGTGGCGACCTGAGTGTGAGATCTGAGTGTGAGGGGTCCTGTGAGAGTGAGATGATCTGTGTGAGGTGTGGTGACCTGTGAGTGTGAAGTGTGCCCTGAGTGTGAGGTATCCTGTGAGAATGAAGTGATCTGTATGAGGTGATCTGTGTGAGATATGGTGACCTGTGGGAGTGAAGTGTGCCCTGTATGAGGTGTCCTGTGAGAGTGAGGTGTCCTGTGAGAGTGAGGTGCCCTGTGAGAGTGAGGTGATCTGTGAGTGGGAGGTGAGGTGTGATCTGTGAGTGAAGTGTGCCCTGTGTGATCTGTGTGAGGTGACCTGTGTGTCAGATGTCCTATGTGAGGTGAGCTGTGAGAATGAAGTGTCCCCTGTGTGAGGTGATCTGTGTTGAGTGAGGTGATCTGTGAGTGTGAGGTGTCCTGTGTGAGGGAACCTGTGAGTGTGAAGTGTGCCCTGTGCGTGAGGTGATCTGTGTGAGCGAGGTGATTTGTGAGTGTGAGGTGACCTGTGGGTGAGGTATCTTATGAATGTGACGTGACCTTGAGTGTGATGGATGTCCTGTGAGGGTGAGATGATCTATGTGAGCTGATGTGTGTGAGGTGTGGTGAACTGTGAGAGTCGTGGGCCCGGTGTGAGGTGACCTGCGAATGTGAAGTATTCCCTGTGTGAAATGTCCTTTGAGAGGTGACTGTGTGAGATGTCCTGTGTGAGGGGACCTGAGAGTTTGATGTAACGTGAGGTGACGAGTGTGAGGTGTCCTGTGTGTGATGGGACCCATGAGTGTGAAGTGCATCCTGTGTGAGGTGACCTGTGTGAGGGGACCTGTGAGTGTGAAGTGTGCCCTGTGTGTGAGGTGACTGTGTGAGGGGACCTGTGTGAAGTGTGCACTGTGTGAGGTGACTGTGTGAGGTGTCCTGTGAGGGGACCTGTGAGTGTGAAGTGTACACTGTGTGAGGTGACTGAAGTGTACACTGTGAGGTGGACTGTGTGGAGGGGGTCCTGTGTGAGGGACCTGGGTGAAGTGCACACTGTGAGGTGACCGTGTGAGGTGACCTGTGTGAGGGGACCTCTGAGTGTGAAGTGTGCCCTGTGAGATGACTGTGTGAGGGGACTCTGTGTTAAGTGTGCACTGTGTGTGAGGTGACTCAGAGTGTGAAGGTGACACTGTGTGAGGTGGGATCAGTGAGGTGACCTGGGTGTGAGGACCTGTGAGTGTGAAGTGTACACTGTGTGAGGTGACTGTGTGAGGTGACCTGTGTGGAGGGACCTCTTGGAGTGTGAAGTGTGCCCTGTGAGATGACTGTGTGTGAGGGGACCTGTGTTATGTGCACTGTGTGAGGTGACTCCAGAGTGTGAAGTGTACACTGTGTGAGGTGATCAGGGAGGTGACCTGGTGTGAGGGGACCTGTGAGTGTGAAGTGTACACTGTGTGAGGTGACTGTGTGAGGGGACCTGTGAGTTTGACATAACCTGTGTGAGGTGGCCTGTGAGTGTGAAGTGTGCCCTGTCCGAAGTGTCCTGTGAGAGTGAGATGATCTGTGAGTGTGAAGTGTCCTGAAAGAGGGGATCTGTGTGAGGTGTAATGACCTGAGTTTGAAGTGCACCCTGTGTGTGAGGTGTCCCGAGTGTGAAGTGTGCCCTGTGTGAGGTGTCCTCTGAGGTGATCTGTGTGAGGTGTCGAATGTGAGGTGACCCGTGAGTGTGAAGTGTGCCCTGTGTGAGGTGTCTTGTGTGAGGCGTCCTGTGTGAGGTGTAATGACTTGAGTTTGAAGTGCACCCTGAGTGTAAGGTGTCCTGTGTGAGGTGATCCGTGAGTGTGAGGTGGAGAAAGCGCCAGGTCCCCACATATTTTTTCTCCCCGACATGTGCCCTGCGGAGGTGCCGCTGGTGGCATGGTGTGGGCCACGAGCAGCTCCCCCAGGCCAGCTTCTCACCACGTCCCTTCTGTGAGCTGCGCATCCATGATGCGCAGGCTGCCCCGGATCCTTAGGGGATTGGGGGGGCCTCCCTTGGGAAGTTAAGGGGGACACCCTAAGTGTGCTTTTCAAATCGTATTTTCTGACGTGAAAACCGGCATGCGCGGAGTGGCCGCGTAGGGAGCGCGTGTGCCTGGTAGGGCGTTCCCGGATACGGGGAGGGAGGGGAATCGCCCAGGAAAACGGAGTCACCCCAGGCGGAAAGCGACCCCCGCAGGAAGCGCAGTGCAGGCGCCGCTGCGTGTTCGCCGCTCACAGCCACAGCCGGAGAGACACAGGCGGCCCCACACGGCCTGGTCCAGCGCCGCCTGCCGTCTCAGCGGTGCAGGGCGCCCCGAGGCTGCGCTCACCGTCCTCTCCAGGTCCTTGAAGATCTCCCGGGCCTCCTCGAAGGAGCATTGCTCCTCCTTGCACTCCCTCTCCAGGGAGCCCGGCCGCAGCTCCTCCAGGAACGAGTTGGCGCGCCGCTGCCTGTGCAGGACGCCGTGGGCTTCTTCCTGGGTTACGAAGACTGAAAAACGCGAGTTCCATGAAACGCTCACCGCTTGCCGCGCCCAGTCCTCGGAGACTGCCCCACGGCCCTGCCCCACGCAGCGGGGGCATCGCGGTTTCCCACCCCGTCCTGGGGGAGGGGAGCGGCGCTGCTCGCAGGCCTGGCTGGGCGTCCTCCCCGCGGTGTTCCTGGGGCGATCACCCGCCTCGCTCATCCTTCCCGGCCCGGCCTCTCCGCTTCCAGGGGCTGATCCCGAGGGCGCGCTCAGGGGCACGCGCGGAAGCTGGGCCGAAGGGGGCCGCGGGCACCGCCGCATAAATGTGAGGCTGGGGGTTAATGCCGGCGAGGAGAAGGCGGCGCGGCCCGGGTGCTGGGCACCCGCCTGGGCCCACATGAACCGCGCGCCAACGCTGCCTTGGCGGTGCACAGGATCCGCTGAACCCCAAATCCCTCGTCTCCATCCGCCCCTCGTCTCCATCCGCACCGCGTCTCCGGCGGCCAGATCTGCCTTCCCCAAGCCCCGCCCCAGGGCGAGGTAAGCCCGTGCGCTCAGCCCCGAGCAGGCCGTTCTTCAGGACGCCCTGCAGCTGAGGGTCCGAGGCGCGGCCCCTGCCCGGCTCCCCCGACACCGAGCCCCAGGCTTCCTCGCCGGCTCTGGGCGGTCCTGGGCTCCTGCCGCCTCCCCCTCCTCCGCTCGGGGCCCCTCTGTGCCCTGCGACCCCTCGGAGCGCCAGACCTCGCGGATCCTCCTGGGGCCGGTCCTGAGAGCAGAGCCCCCGGCTGCAGCTCCTGGCCTCTCCGTAACCCCGACGGTTACTTGTAGGCAAGTAGGACCCCCGCTTTGCCCATGGAAAACGGGGTTGGCGAGGGCCAAGGGCGCCCAGGGCGACGCAAGCCCGTGCGCTCAGCTCCGAGCAGGCCGTTCTTCAGGACGCCCTGCAGCTGAGGGGACCGTCTCCCGGGAGCTGTGAGCTGTGGGCACCACGCGGTGGTGGATGAGGAGTGACCCCCGGGACGGCCGCGCTGCCTGAACCCGCCTCAGCCCGCGAGGGGAGACTAGCCGGGCCGCGGGGCAGGCGGGAGAGGGAGGCCCGGGAGGAGGCCGAGAGGACGCGCGGGAGCTCTGGAGAGGCCGCAGGAGGCGCGTTCGGGAGGGACGACCTTTGCTGGGAGGACGAGGCCTCAGGTGGACGCAGGTGGCAGGTGGGCAGGAGCCCGCGTTCTGCAGGAGCGGCCTAAATCGGTTACTGAGCGCGGAAGAAGGGACGGAAGGTGGGCGCTACTGGGCCACGTGGGGCCGAGAGAAACGCCCCCGCCTGTTTCCTTTAAAATCAGTTTCACACGTCCGCGTCCCTAGAGAACCGGTCTGGTTTGGAAGGAGGCTGAGGATGCAGGCGGGGGTCACCAAAGAATCCAGGAGGTGGGAGCTCTTGGACGCGGAGTCCTCAGGGGAGGTGCCCCGGGCAGCAGGAGTGGGAGGGGAGGCCCATGTCCCTGCAGTCCCCGACATCCAGGCCCCTGGGACACTCTCACTCCCGGGACACCCACGCCCCCAGGACACCCACACTCCCAGGACACCCACACTCCCGGAACACCGCTCCCCAGACAACCGCTCCCGGGACACCCACGCCCCCGGGACACCCACGCCCCCAAGCCACCCACGCCCCTGGGACACCCACACTTCCGGGACACCCACGCCCCTGGGACACCCACACTCCGCGGGCTGGCTCCTTGCCATGGGAGGCCAAGGAGGTGATGTTGGCCCCCACTGGGCCCCGGGACTAAACCAGTGGCAGTCCCTGCTCACCTCTGTGAGGCCCTGGCTTCCACAGCAGGTCCTGTGTTTTCTCCTCCTGAGGCCTCAGCGACCCCGCCTGGGGCAGGAAGGTGGCTGGGGTCATAAGGCCATGTGTGAGCTGGGGCTGCAGCCCCACATCTCAGGCACTGTCCCTCACAGCCCACCCCCCTACTTGCCATCCCCACACGCCATCCTCATGCCCCACTCGCCATCCCCACGCCACACCCTGTACTCGCCATCCCCACACCCCACTCACCATTCCCAGGCCCCAGCCCCACTCGCCATCCCCACCCCACAGTCACCATCCCCTCACCCCATCCCCCACACCCCACACACCCTTTCCATTCCCCATACCCCACACACCCCACACACCCCATACACCCCATCCTCAACACCTCCATGCCCCATTCCTTGCACTCCACATGCCACTTCCCACATCCCATCCCCCACACCCCACACACTTTCCCACACCCCCCTCCCGCACCCCACGCCCCATCCCTCATACCCCACATGCCGTTTCCCAGGACCCACCCCCTCATGGCCCATCCTCCACACCCCACATGCCATCCCCACCCCCCATCCTCCACACCCCATGCCCCATGCCCCAGGCGCCATCCCCCACACACTTGTCCTCCCCAGCCTGGAAGCAGCCTGTGAGTACCTCCCATACTCTGAGAGGCCCAGACTCCCTGTGCTTGTCCAACCTAACAGGCAGGGGCCCATGGGGGCCAAGAAAGCACCACCCACTCCTAAAGTTCTTTGAAAAATAATCCCACCAAAGCCTGGGCCACTAAGAAGGGCCTCCCCTCCTGTGCCTGGATGCTGGTTTCTGGAAGGAAAAAAATTGAACAGGAGCCGCCAGAAAACCCTCCTGGTGAATGGGGGTGTCCAGAGCAAGGACGGGGTTTGGGAAGCCCGGGTCGGCTCCTGGATTTGCCCACTGCCCTTCCACCAAGTTTATGGGGAAAATCTCCCCGGACGCACCTGCAGCCAGACAGCCCTGAAGCCCAAGCAGAAGGCAGAGGAACCCGAGGGCTTGGGAGACCATGATGAAATCTCTGCAGCGCTGCCTCTGCCTGTTGACATTCCCCATGGGACTGGCGGGCAAAGTTCTCTGCCTCCAAGGGCGACAGAGGGATGGGGGAGGGGGGGACAGAGGCGTCCTCTGAACACCCCAGCTGAGAGCTGCACCTGGCCGGCCAGTGGCCATGCATCCCCTGCTGCCCAGCTGCTGAGCTCAAGTGGGGAGGACAGGAGAAAGGTCAGGCGGCTCCAGCTGTGCTGCAAAGCGGATGGTTTTGTTGCCAGCGTGCAGGTGTTAAGGTGTGTGTGTGACACCAACACTTCAAATACGGTCTAGAATTCCAAACCCCTAGGACATAGGAACGTAGGTTGGGAAACAGATTTAAACTGCAGATGAAAACTTGGCCCATAGCAATAATGCGAGTCAATTCTTGAGAGCGTATCTTGGGTGTGGATGTAAATATTTGAAGAGAGCCTCCAGGAGACCAGGCCAGCTAGGCCATTGCCTGCAAGGGAGGCTGGTTTCTTAGTTGAGCCACAGAGCCTGACTGAGAAGTGCTGGGAATAGGATCATTCTGGCCCTGAGCTGGGCAGCCCCACTCTGTTTTGACTGCAGGCAGACGTCTTTTGTTTGTTTTTGTTGTTGTTGTTGTTTTGAGACGAAGTCTTGCTCTGTTGCCAGGCTGGAGAGTGCACTGGTGCAATCTCACTGCAACCTCCACCTCCCGGGTTCAGGAGATTCTTGTGCCTCCGCCTCCTGAGTAGCTGGGACCACAGGTGCACGCCACCATGCCTGGCTGGTGCCCTTATATCAGCTATCCCTGACTGTGGTGCTGGGCACACGGGAGCTGTCCGAGGGTAATCTTGAGTCAGATGTCTGCGCGACATCAGAATCTCCTTAATTGGCTCGTGCCTGTAATCCCAGTACTTTGGGAGGAGCTGAGGGACTGAGATCGCGTGAGGAAGGTTCCAGACCTGGGCAACAACCAAGACCAAACCTAGACAAAAAGTCAAAAATTAGCTGGGACTTGGTGGTCGAGGTGCCTCTTCCTCCCCACCCAAACAGTGTTCTTTGTTGGAGAGATAAGAGAACCAGAGGCAGAGGTTGCAATGAGCTGAGATTGTGCCACTGCACTCAAGCCTGGGCGCGACAGAGGAGAGCTGGCACTCCCTACCAAAGTCTGTGTCTACTTGTACATGGCCACCACACTCACCTGGCCAAACTCACGCCATACACACACCACTCACACAACCCAAACTCACGCCATACACACGCCACACTCACACAACCCAAACTCACGCCATACACGCCACACTCACGCAACCCAAACTCACGCCATACACACACCACTCTCCACACCCACCATACACACGCCACACTCACTGTAGCCCAAGCTCACGCCATGCACACACCACACTCACACCCACCACCCACACCGCCACACCCACACAGCCAACCCAAACTCCATCATACACGCCACACTCACACAACCCAAACTCACGCCATACACACACCACTCTCACACCCACCATGCCGCCACACTCACACCACCACTGCAGCCACACTCACACCCACCATATACACCACACTCCACTGTAGCCCAAGCTCACGCCACGCACACACGCCACACTCACACAACCCAAACTCCGCCATACACCACGCCACACTCACGCAGCCCAAACTCACGCCATACCACCACTCTCACCCACCACACACGCCACACTCACACAGCAAACTCCGCCATACGCACGCCACACTCACACAGCAACCCAAACTCGCCGCCACACGCCACACACCTCACACAACCCAAACTCCGCCATGCGCACGCCACACTCACTGGCAAACTCACGCCATACACACACCACACTCACACAACCCAAACTCCCGCCATACACACACCACCCTCACACCCACCATACACACGCCACACCCACACAACCCAAACTCATGCCATACACACGCCACACTCACAACCCAAACTCACGCTATACACATACCACACTCACACCCACCATACACACGCCACACTCACACCCACCATATACACGCCACACCCACACAACCCAAACTCACCATACACACGCCACACTCACACAACCCAAACTCATGCCATACACACACCACTCACACAACCCAAACTCACGCCATACACACACCACACTCACAACCCAAACTCACGCCATACACACACCACACTCACACAACCCAAACTCACTTCCTTACACACACCACACTCACACAACCCAAACTCACACCATACACACACCACACTCACGCCCAAACTCACACGCCATACACACACCACACTCCACTGTAGAAGCTCACGCTATACACACTTTTCCACCTCACACCCACCATACCTGCGCCACCTCACACAACCCAAACTCACGCCCACACACGCCACACTCACCCACCATATACACGCCATACACACACCACACTCACACAACCCAAACTCACGCCATACACACACCACGCACACAGCCCAAACTCACGCCATACACACACCACACTCACACAACCCAAACTCACGCCATACACACACCACACTCCACAACCCAAACTCATGCATACACACGCCACACTCACACCACCATATACCACGCCATACACACACCACACTCCACACAACCCAAACTCACACGCCATACACACGCCACACCACCCAACCCAAACTCACGCTATACACATACCACACTCACACCCACCATACACACGCCACACCCACACAACCCAAACTCATGCTATACACATACCACACTCATACCCCAAAGACACACCCATAAGCGCACCTATACACATGCCATACACACACCACACTCACACAACCCAAACTCACGCCATACACACGCCACACCCACACAACCCAAACTCACGCTATACACATACCACACTCACACCCACCATACACACGCCACACCCACACAACCCAAACTCATGCTATACACATACCACACTCATACCCCAAAGACACACCACATAAACGCACCCCTATACACATGCCACACACCACACATGCCATTTCCAGGCTCTTCCACACCCGTAAGGAATTGGAATCTCTGGGTAGGTCCCAGGAATAGTATTTAACAAACATCCAGGGAAACTGCTATGTGTTGTCATTTTGAGAACCTGTGAGCACATCCCACCTGGTGCCAGATGCATCTCGGCAGGACGCATGCATGCCAGGGAAACAGGCAGACGCTAACGGGATTTGAGCTTGGGCACAAACTGGTTCCAAATCTATTTGGTGCCGCTAGAAGCAAGCGTTTCCTTGCGACAGAGGGTGCAGGGCATGGGAGGACAGAGAAGCTGCGTGCACGAATGCCTGTGTGCCCTGTGCCCGTGAAGCCGCCATGGCAAGCTGTCTTGCAGGTCAATTCTACTGGCTGACGGTGTCTGCACTGGCAAGGAAAAGCCTGTGCTAAGCGGGCCTCTGTTGTCTGTGTAGAGAAGGGAGCTGGGTCTGGGCACCACTGTCAGTCATCAGAGCCGGGGCTGCTCCCTCCTCCCCACCGGGTGCTTTGCCTTCTTGGGGCCACAGCTGGAGGCAGCTGAGCCCTCCGGCCGGCCGGGAGTCACTCCAGTGCTACAGGATGCTAAACAACTTTCAGTTGAAGAGAGAGAATGTATGCAACGTTGAACAGTTATGATTTTGAGCAGAATTTGTTTTCTTCTCTGGACCTTGGTCCTACTTTTTATCCTTGTCTGGGGTCTTAGCGTGGAGAGAAGTTCACCATGGGATGTGATCAGATTGTCCATCTTTTCTTTTTGTCCATCTCTTAAAGTGCAGCTTGTCTTTTGTAAGAAATCTACTCTTGCCCTAGGCAATAAGAATATTCTATATTCCTCATAATAATCTTATGATATTTAAAATTTCCTTTCCTTTCCTCATAATAATCTTAATGTTTTAATCTTAAGTTTGGGGGGTGCTACTTTTATGCCATCATCCACATGGAAAGGCAGCTGTCCCAATAACACCGGTTCCTGAAGAGGCCATTCCGTGCCAAAGATTGACCAGCCCCAGGACAAGCCAGGTCCTTGCACACATCCCTGCCTGGG